ATAATATAATGCTATTATATTATATATTATTTTAGTATATGTTATATATATATATTTTTAATAACTAGCCAATACTTTTTAAATGGGGAAACTGCATGGGAAAAAAAATCTAGATTTCTGACCTCCTTGCCCATGTGGCCATGTGTAGCTGGCCCCGAGCAGCTGTGACCTCTGAATATGGGCCATGTGTCTCCATTTAGCCACAGTAACCACCAGGCCCATCTTTCTCCCTTACATAAACTGTCCAGCCCCCTTGGAACACGTGAATTCATGATCCCTGCTTTACCCTGGTCAAAGGCTAGGTTTCTAGGACATCCTTGCAGGACATTTACTTGGGAGGGCCCTTGGAATCAGTGCCTGGGGAAGGAAGGCAGGGGACGAGGAGTGAATGGAGGGAGACATTGAACCAGGGTTTGGGCTCAAAGATAGCCATGGCCGATACCCCAGAAAGTGAGGGGCTGGCATAGTCCTTCTGAGAAGTCCCAGGTTGGAAAATGTGGCTGGGCCTGTGTACACTCACACTGATGAGGTCGCTGTTGGCTGCCCCCAATAGAGTATGACCTTAGGAAACAAGTCTTTCCCTGGAGGGGCTCTGAGTGGCCATCCCCACACTCCCCCTGCTCCAGCTGCCTCTCCACTTGGCTCTGCCCCCATGGTTCTCCTCCCCTCATCCTGAGCACAACTTGTTGGTTGATTGCAGGTTGACCAGATGTTCACTGCCTTCCCCCCTGATGTGACTGGCAACTTGGACTATAAAAACCTGGTGCACATCATCACCCATGGAGAAGAGAAGGACTAAAACAGGATAACCACCCCGCCCTGGGCTCATCTTTGTCGGGCAGGCTCTGCCCTCCTCTCTCTCTGCTTTACCTCTGGCCTATTAGCCATGTACTTGCCCCCAGTGATCCACCGCTACTTTCTTTGCAATTTGGGTGGCTTATACTTTGGAGATACCATGTGGTCACACATATTGTAGATGAAAATCCACCCAGAGCCCATGTTCAAATAAACAAGAGGTTGTATATGTGGTCATGATGATCCTCTGACAGGGACAAACCCCTTGAGTAAGAAAAGCAAAAATAGCAGATAAGCTAGAGATGACCCTGCTATCATTACTCTTGTTGAATCTTAGTAACTCTTTATTTAAAATAGACCTTTGCAGCCACTCAGAACTGTGTATCTGGAGGACATTTTCTGGAATGTTAACTTAGATGACAACAGCCCTCTCTTCCAACAAGTTTAATCATGTCTAGGGTCTAGCATCCATGACATCCTTTCCTTTGGCACACTATCAGGATGTTTCTCCCATAGGTATGTCAACATGGGCCCCACAGTAAAGAAGATAGCCTCACACTCATCCTAAGAATATGCCTCTTTTAACAAAAATCACATCTGCTAATCACAAGAAGTTGATTTCGAGTTTCAGATAAAGCAGAAGCTGTCTGTACTCCTTTCCTGGCAAATTTCAGGGTGGGTTCTGATTTCTAGACCCTCTCTAGGGTCTAGGCCTGGGTATGAATGAATCCTTGATTTTAAGTGACCAAAATCATGGCTGAAGCATTCAGGTCTATAATGGCTACAAGAATCCCAACTTAAGAAACAAATTGATTCATATAACTGAGAAGTTTAAGGGCTTCAGGCACAGCTGCATCCAGAAGTTCAAACGTGGCCTCTCTACTGCTCTGCTTTTGTTCATGTTGCTGTGCTCTCATTGATAGCAAAAAGACTTCCAGCAGCTCTTGGCTCCCTTCTAACCTCTCAGCAATCCTAGTGGAAAGAGCCCAACGCAAATATCAGAAGAGAGCTTCCTGGGGTCTCTCTGCTATCAGAGCTAACACATGCCAGTCACTAGGGATGCTGTGACTGGAACACATGACCAACCCTCATGCTGGGGCTGAAATCTGCTCCCTCCCAAACCACATACCTGGCAGGTGGGCAGAGACATCCCCCAAAGGAAAACCAAGAAGTAGAAAGGGGACATCGGGCACTCTGAGCTTTCAAGAGAATCCTGATAACCTAGAATACAGCCCAAGTTAATGCCTTGCTGGGAAAAAGGAGCTGGAACTGGGTGTGGGAGTGGAGCCGGGGTCACATGGAAGGAAGGAAGAAAAGAAGGAAGGAAGGAAGGAAGGAAGGAGGTGGGGGGCCGGAAGAGCCAGAACCAAGAAAGTCTTCAAGGCTCTAGATAACAACACATATAACCTTCAGGAGGCACTAAGGGTTAAGCCTTCAATATTGCTGCCAATTGGGGCCCCTTTCAAAGTAAGCTGGGTGGGCAGGGACCCAGAGAGTCAGGGCCCCCATGCTTATGACCCAGTATGACTCTCATCCTGTGATGACCCACAGCCCTGCAGCCTCCCATATGTTCCCAGGAAGACCTGGCCACAAACCTGACACCTGGAGCTCCTGGGGAGGCAGATTGTGGCTCAGGGCAAGACGCTCTTCAGTGACACACTCACCCACAGAAGACACAGAGACAGTGACACACACAGAGGCTCTATAGTGCCTGCCTGCCTGTGTTTACCACACCCCATGTGATTCTGGGGTCTCCAGATCAACATTTTGGCTCCAATGTAGCCCCTACACTCAGCTCGTCCCTGCATTATCTGGTGGACCCTGATAAAGGGTGACCTGTGCCAGTCACCATCTCGAAAGTTCTCAGGGGTCACACAATTCTTGCCTCCTATGACTATTTTTGAGCCCTACAGCTCTTGCTTTTAGCTGCCATCCCTAAGGTGGCTCCCAGTACCCCAGGCTTTGGCAATGAGCGTGAAAAGGCACTGAGGTTATTGAACAAAACATTTATTATTTCTGGTTATGGTATAAATGCAGCTCCATCATCTCACACCATTAACTTCTTCTTGGACCTCACGTCATCCGCCTTTTCTGCAGGCAGACTGTCAAAGCGTATGTCCTTACGAGTCTCCTTCAAAGTGTAATTGTCGACCACCAGCTGCCGAAGACTGTTGTGGTCTAGCGGCTGGTCAACTGTACCAAGAGGAGATTGTGTAAGGTGTCTGGAAATCAAGCCTAGTACTAGGGCTTCCTTCCCAGAGACTGAGTCTTTTGTCTTGTTCATGGTTGCCCAAGGCAAGGATGCCCAAGCCTGGTTTGATATCCCTGTACAGTGCTGAGAGTAGAGTTGTGAACATTTTCAGGGGAAATGGGAGGGGGAGAGTAGACAGAAATGTACTTCTCTGGGATGCCCAGACAATGACAGCTTTTCCCCCCAGACAAGGATGCAAAGGATGTTGGTGTAATATAAAGGACATAGGGCCACCATATACAGTTGTCTAGGGTGTGCACTGCACAAGGACACACAGAGAAAAGAGGTAAATGGATGGGCTAAAATCTAGCCCCACTTGACTTTGAAACCATGCCTATTCAGAGGGGGCCCCTTTTCCTAATTAATCTACCCCAAAGCAGCCCCTCTTCTAATTCATACCTGCAGGCCATAGGAGACAGGGGGCTAGGAGAATACACATTTACCAACATTCTTTTGAACACAAGTGAAGACATTATCTTGTGAGGATAGCTTTACCAGCAGCTGTGCCCCACCCTACCCCATTCTGAGCCCTGCCCTTTTAGGAAACACCAAAGGGCTAAGGGAATTGTACTGGGTGGAGCTGCGTACGTGGTCTATGTGTGCTGGGGGGCTCTCTCCATCCTGGGAACACTTGAAATGCTGCTCAGAGAAGTGGGGGCAGCCTTTCAAAACGTGATTTTTTTCTGATTACTAAAGTCATGCAACATCATTGTATAAGAAAATGCTAAACAATACAGAATTGTCTAACTTAGAAATGCAAAGTTCTCTGCAAGCCACCATCCAGAAATATCTGCTCTAACAGTTGGCTTATATGTCCTCTCTGTTTCTATATATATATTCTAGTTGCCTCCCTCCTTCCCTTGCTCTCAGCTCCTCTCAACTTTCCTCCTCATCTATCCCCCACTCCCCACCTCTCTCTCTCTGACATACTTGCCAGTTTGCAAAATTCAGATAGTGCAAGGTTCTTTTAAAACAATAAGATTTAGGCTGGGCGTGGTGGCTAATGCCTGTAGTCCCAGCGCTGTGGGAGATCAAGGTGGGTGGATCGCCTGAGCTCAGCTGAGTTCAAGACCAGCCTGAGGCAAAGTTAGACCCTGTCTCTACAACAACAGCAACAAGACAGCCGGACCTTGTGATCCCAGCTACATGGGGGGCAAGAGAACACTACAGGAGGAAGAAGTAAAAACAAAAAACAAAAAAAAACTTCAAAGTAAGATAAGTTGAAAGCAAAAATAAAAAATAAAAACAATAAGATTAAAAAGAAAATACACAGGATAACTAAACTCTGAGATCTTTGGCCAGGTCACCCTTGCACCCTTGCCGCAGCCAAGATGGTATCCAAGGGAGCTGATGGGCCCATGAGGGCCCATCAAGATAGGGAGACTGAGGCCAACACTGTAGACCCTCTCAAGTACTGGGATACAGTATCCCCAGCCCTGAAGGCACAGGTTTACAGCACCCTGCATCAATGAGGAGAAAGAAAACTCACCATCATCCAACTTGTCACTGAAGGAGTCAGGCCCAAGGATGGGAGGAGTGACCTTGATGGGTTCTGGGGGCTTGAGGAGGGAAGAGCCGCCCCAGAAAGGGTTGACAAAAGTTGTTGGGACATCAGTCTCAGACCCCTCCACATCCAGGACCCGCCTGTAGGACTCCAACAGCAGCAGGTCATTGGTCTTCTTTTCAATGACGGCTGCAAAACAAGAAGCAGGACCAGATGGCTGCCAAGAGATGGCATCCTGTGGGCCTGGGGTCCTGTCCCCGCTGGACAGGAAGAAAAGGAACAGGAAGTACAGAGGGAAGGTCATGGGCTCCTACAAGGACCAGGTTTTCACCTGGGTTGTGCCAAACATTCTCAAGGGGATTTCACTCTTAGGAGGTGAAATGTGATACTTGGGGAGGCAAAAATCTGACTCCTTCATGTACGGAGCACGGGTATATATACAGGACAGCCTGCAGGATTCAAATCTCATGAGGAGGGACAATTAGGAAAAAATAGAAAGGCTCCTTGAGGGAGAAGGGTGGTAATGAAAAGAAGGTTGAGAGGAACTGGGTTACACTTAAAACTGGAAGCTGGGGCAGCCCTGCCTTAAACTATTATAGAAGCTTTTCTCTAAAGCTTTCTGTTTCAGGCCTCCGGGTCTTTACTCGTACTACTCCTTAGTCCTAGAATGTTCTTCCCTACAGCCTTCCCTGAGTAACTCTTCCTGGTATTTTAAGCTTCAAGTCAGGTCTCACGACCTGCAGGAATATTTCCCTGACCTGCCTTCTTCAGGAGAGCTGCCCTTCTCACTGTGTTTCCATAGCTCTGTGCAGTCACCAGAGTCACTTCTTCATTCATTCGTTCATCCATTCATCAATGATTAGCCATGTACTGTACTGATGCCAAGGATGCAAGAAAAACAAAACAATAACAACAAGAGCAACAAAGATGCAGTCCTGGCCCTAAAGAAGCTTCATTTGTGTATGTTGAGATGGAGAAAAAGACAAGTTAAACAAGAGAACAGGCTCAGTGCCTGTGGCTCAAGTGGCTAAGGCTCCAGCCACATACACCCAAGGTGGCGGGTTCGAATCTAGCCCGGGCCCGCCAAACAACAATGATGGCTGCAACCAAAAAATGGCCAGGCGTTGTGGCGGGCGCCTATGGTCCCAGCTACTTGGGAGGCTGAGGCAGGAGACTCGCTTGAGCCCAGGAGTTGGAGGTTACTGTGAGCTGTGATGCCATGGGACTCTACTCAGGGGGACAGCTTGAGGATCTGTCTCAAAAAAAAAAAAAAAAAAGACAAGAGAACAGAGAAATACAGGCATCCTTCACTATCCAGAGGTTCATTATCTGAATTCCATATCTACTAGATTCGGATTTAGATTTTGGGATTTTTTCAAAAAATAAACCTCACACTGTTCAACTGTCTAAAAATCAGGGACCAAAAATATTTGCATCTGAAACTTGCTGTCAGATTCCAGGAACCTTATACATTTGGACAGGGCAAGCTATCTACAAAGAGACAAATAACAGGATGGCCATGAGAGGTAACAATAGTGGTGAGGGGACAGCTTCAGAGGGGACAGAGACAGAGGAAGGAGGCCTTGTAGGAGAGAGGACAGTCAAACTGAGATCTGAGGGCAGGTCCCAAGTCTAACTGGCCCCAGCTTGACTCACCAAAATACTGAGCAAGGTTGTTGTCGGTGACTTTCCCTGTCTCCCCCAACTGTACCAGGATCTTGGTGGCGTCACAGTTTATCTTCTTAAACAGCTTCTCCACCGAGTTCTTGAGATGCTCCAGGGTCCTATTGATCTCCTTGGTTTTCCTCTCATACGTGTCTGCCTCTTCTGTGGTCTTCCTCAGTTTTTCCTGGTGGCAGAACCCAATTCCCAGCATGGGTCATCCCCCTTGGAAGACATTCAACGGAAAGGGACTCAGGGGATCCTTAGGAGCTAGGGTCTCCAAACTGCAGATTTTCAAACTTCTCAGAGGTGCGTGAGATCAACTTAATGAGCTTCTATCATATTTTCAAAAAAATGAAATAAAATAGAACAGTAAAGAAAGGAAGAGAAATACTACTGTGCATTAAGGGTCATAAGGATAAATATTGGTTACTGTAAGTTTTGTTTCACTTACATATGTGTATGTGTATCTACAGGTGTACTGAATAATAACATTTTTAAAAAGCTGTTGACTCAGGCGGGGCGTGGTGGCTCAAGCCTATAATCCTAGCACTCTGGGAGGCCAAGGCAGCTGGATTGCCTGAGCTCACAGGTTCAAGACTAGCCTGAGGGAGACCTTGTCTCTAATAATAGCTGGACATCATGGCAGGCACCTGTAGTCCCAGCTTCTTGGGAGACTGAGGCAAGAGAATCACTTGAGCCCAAGAGTTTGAGGTTGCTGTGAGCTAGGATGCCATGGCACTCTACCAAGGATGACAAAAATAAATAAATAAATAAATAAACAAATAAATAAAAGCTGTTGACTCATTTATAAAAAATGGCCCACAGGAAGAGATATGTCACAGCTCACCACATACAAACATATATACATATGTGTGCATATTATATACATTATCAAAACAAAATTAAAGTTTCAAAAGTGAATATTCTTATTACATGCCCTAATTGTTTCTTTTCTATTCTGTTCTATCTCATTTTTTTTTTTTTTTTTTTGAGACCAGGGTCTCACTCTGCTACCCAGGCTGCAGTACAGTGGCATCATTATAGCTCACCACAGCCTTGAATTCCTGGGCTCCAGGGATCTTCCTGCCTCAGCCTCCTGAGTAGCTACCAGGTGTGCCTCCATGCCTGGCTATGTTTTTGTTAATCTTTTATAGAGATAGGGGAATCCTAGCTATCTTGCCCAGGCTGATTTAAACTCTTGGCCTCAAGTGATCCACCAATCCACCTGCCTTGGCCTCCCAAAGGGCTGGGATTACAAGCACGAGCCTCTGTACCTGGCCTATTAGCTTACTTTTAAAAAAATTAATGGATGTCATCATTCATAGTTTAAAATATACTGCCCTAGCCCAGCGGTTCTCCATGTGTGATCCCAGGACAGGCAGTATCAGCTTCACCTAGAACAGTGGTTCTCATCCTTCCAAAGCTGTGGCAGCCCTTTAATACAGTTCCTGTGGGTTGCAACCCACAGATTGAGAACTGCTGAGCTAGAACTTGTGAGAAAAGCACATTTTGGGGCCCCAGACCAGACCCACTGAATCAGAGTTTTTCACAAGCCTCCAGGTGGTCCCAAGGCATGGAGGAAAGGCACGGGGAAGTTTGAGAACCTCCTCCGGTCTCTTGGATTTCTACCTTGGCTCCACACTGATATCCCCTGGAAACCCACACCTCACCCTCAGAGGTTCAGACTTGGTCTGAGTGACACTTGGACATCAGGGGATTTCAAAGCCTCCTAGGTGATTGTGATAAGCAACTGGGGCTGAGAAATGCTGTGCTTTTCAGCTGGTCCCTGCCTGTGCCGCTGAATTCTCAGCTTGCAAAGGTAAACATGGCCCTCGAAGACCTGGCTCTGTTCCCCAGAGCAGATATCGCTTGTACTGTCCCAAATAATGCTCCCAAGAGGTCAGCCCTGTCCACACTCTCATTTTGCAGATGAAGAAACCGAGGGTCTGGAGAGAGAAAGTAGGATTTGAACTCAGTCTCTCAACCACTACATCAGGAGGCTTCCTCTGTCAGGCTGCTGAAACATTCTGTTCCCAGAGCTGCAAATTCCTCATATGACTGCAAGAGCTGCCCTCTCTAAAGATACATTAAAAGATCACATAGGTTTTTAAGTCTCAGTATTAATTTTTTATAAGGAGGTCAGTGGTCAACCTAATGTGGCAATACATGTCCAGCTCCTAAAATATTCCAGGCATTTTATATGAATCGTTTAATCTCAGCCTCACAATTAGCCCAGTTTTCGGATGAGGAATATTGAGGTCAGAGAAGAAAAGTGAACTTGTGTTCAGCTTCCCTGTACTGGGTACATCTAGGCACCTGACCTTGAGCTCAACTCTTAACTTTGGCCATGATTTAGTAACAGAGTAATGGTGATTTGAGTTTTTCTGACTTACAAAATAAACAACAATAATTTTGCTACCATTTATTGCTCTCTGTGCTGCGGTGTGCCACGTGTGTACATGCATGATTTTATCCAAACTTTGTGGCCATAAGAAGTAGATACGATTATCATCCCCATTTTACAAATGAGTAAACAGGCTCAGAGAGGCTATCTCAAAGTCACATGGTTAGGGAGTGACTTTTGTGAGCATCATACCCAGGCTCCCAGGGTCTGGTGGTTTAACTATTATGCAAAACCCTCCCATTATGGAACTGGTCCCACCACTTCTCCCAGTGGGAAGGAGATGACGAAATGGAGGTATATAAAAGGTTTCCAAGATGGAGCAGGTGGAAGTGATTTTTAGCAGGGGCTAAGAAACATTTTTTTAACCTACTTCTATTAAGACAAATTCTCCTGATTAGAGTATTTGCATATGAAAAGCCCCCGGAAGTCATGCTGAAGCCAAGAAATGAAAAGTTAATGGGAGGGCTTGAGGCAGAGGTAGGGGGGGATGTTTGGAGTTGCCTGGGTAGCCTCTCTAAAACCCCAATTTGCAAGTCAGAAGTCATTTTGTCTCAACCCCAATAAGATTCTAGACTCTAGGTGGTCCCCTGAGCCTATATGGGACTGTAAACATGTGCCCAACTTCGGGGGTGTTCCCTTGGACCTGAAAAGGAGCCTGGGAGATGTTTCTGAGCCTCAGCCCTCAAGGGGCAGCATGTGCTTTGCTGCCATCCAGTGGCCAAACAGAGAATGTCTACCAGGTATATGCCAAGGACTCAAATAAAGCACAAAGAAGGGAAGGGAAAAGACCCAGGAGCGCGATTCCCAGGCCAGGAACTGCTAGATTAGAACAGGACTTTATAGTCAAACTCTCTTGAGTTCGTATCATTGCCAGATATCTGCTATCCATTCTCCCCTTATACGTTAATAACAAAACCCTGGCTTGGCATCCGTAGCTCAATGAGTAGGGAGCTGGCCACATATACCAAGGCTGGTGGGTTCGAGCCCAGCCCATGCCTGCTAAACAATAATGACAACTGCAACCAAAAATAGCTGGGGGTTGTGGCAGGTGCCTGTAGTCTCAGCTACTTGGGAGACAGAGGCAAGAGAATCACTAAAGCCCAAGAGTTGGAGGTTGCTGTGAGCTGTGATGCCACTCTACTGAGGGTGACATAATGAGACTCTGCCTCCAAAAAAAACAAAAACAACAACAATAAAAAAAATCCTTGATTGTATTTAGGGTAGCAATGTGACCAGCTGAAAGTTACTTTTTTTTTTTTTTTTAGAGACAGAGTCTCACTCTGTTGCCCTCGGTAGAGTGATATGGCATCACAGCTCACAGCAACCTCCAGCTCTTGGGCTTAGGTGATTCTCTTGTCTCCACTTCCCTGGTACTACAGGTGCCTGCCACAATGCCCAACTACTTTTTATTGCAGTTTGGCCGGGGTTGGGTTTGAACCTGCCACCCTCAATATATGGGGCTGGCGCCCTACTCATTAAGCCATAGGTGCTGCCCCAAAAGTTATATTTTCAAACTTCTCATCCAATCAGATGGGCAAAGACATATAAATACAGAAGTCATGGGCTGAGACTTCTGGAAAATAATTTTTTTTTTTGAGACAGAGTCTCACTTTGTTACCCCGGGTGCCATGGCGTCATAGCTTCTGGCAACCTCAGTCTCTGGGCTTAAGAGATCCTCTTACCTCACCCTCCTGAGTAGCTGGGATTATAGGCACCCACCACAGTGCCCAGTTATTTTTAGGGGAGGGATTTTGCTCTTGCTCAGGTTGGTCTCAAACTTGAGCTCATGCTGCCTTAGCCTTCTAGAGTGTAAAGATTACAAACATGACCCACTGTGCCTGGCCCTGGAAGAGAACTTTTAAGCTAGCTGACTTCACTAGCAAGATCTTTTTTCCTACTCTACTGTCTTCCTGCTTGGAATGCATATGTGATGGCTGGAACTGTGGCAGCTATATTGTGACTACATGGCACTCTTGGAATATAAGCCACACATAGGGTGACCAGACTTCCCACTTTTGGTGGGACAGTCCCGCTTTTCAACAATTTGTCCCGCGTCCCACGGCGTTTTAAAAAAGTCCTGATTTTTGGAAAGAATGCATGAACCAGCAGGAGAACAAGAAGGGAATATACAGTTTTTTGCTGCCATGTGGGGGTTTTGCCAGAATATGAGTTTTATATTATTTTTGTTAATTTTATAATGTTAAACTGTAATAATAACAAATAATTGCTGAGAAGTGATTATCAAGAACTGCTTATCAAAGTTTGCATTGTTGTCAGGCCCTGCCCTGCCCTGCCCAGTCCCCTGCCCGGCCCCTCCTCTGGGCCCCCCCGCCCCGCCCCCACCATGTTGTCCCGAGTTACCGATGTTAAAATCTGGTCACCCTAGCCACACACTAAGGATGACAAAACAAAAATATAGGGATTGTAGGCCATTGATGACAACATGAAGGCATCATATGGCTCTGTCTTGTTCAGCCTGCTGCCATTTTGGGTTCTTGTTATTAATACCTGAATACAGTTCAGAGCTCACACAAAATCTCAGCTCTGTGATGTTCTTCTTCATCCATAAAATGGAGAGATTAATACACCTGTCTCATAGGGTTTTTATTAGGATTCTGTGGCATATGCAAGCAAAGCACCTAGCCCAGTGCCTAGTACTTAGTAATACTCAAGAACTGTTTGAGGTCAGCATGGTGGCTCATGCCTATAATCCTAGCACTCTGGAGGCCAAGGCAGGTGGATTGTCTGGCTCAGGAGTTTGAGACCAGCCTGAGCAAGAGTGAGACTTTGTCTCTAAAAAATAGTGTGCTGGGTTCGGCGCCTATAGCTCAACCGGCTAAGTCGCCAGCCACGTACACCTAAGGTGGCGGGTTAGAATCCCCAGCCCGGACCCGCCAAACAACAATGACGGCTGCAACCAAAAAAAA